GAAAAGGACTAGACACCTCAAGTCTTAATGGAAGGGGATTCCCCTTCTAAACACTAAGACTCTCTCCTCCTCCCATCCCACAATCATCACCAGATCTTCAATAAAGGTAAGTGTCATGTAACTGTGCATGTCTTTTTCAGTTTGTGTGTATTAACCCTTTCAGGGTCCGTCCCGTAGGAAAACTACGCTTTATGTTCAGGGTCCAAACCGTAGATCTACGCCAGAGCTCAGCTCACTCTGATAAACTGTGAGTGGTACATTTGGGCCTAGATATGAGAGAAAACATCTATGTGGTATGTGTGCACCACATAAAACAGATCCTGCAGCACACTGTGCATAATGAGAGAAAAAAAATGAAATCATGATTTTTCGATTAAAACAGCAACTTTGCAGTGTTTTTTCGTATGTTTTTTATAGTTGTATTTGCGATTTCTTGGTCTCATTTGATAGAATGGAAGACATATTACAGAAATAAGATTATTTGATTGGTTTTAGCATTGGAAATGGCTTGAAACTGAGCTCAAAGTAGCGGAAATGTTAAATTTTTGCCGATATCAAGAGTAAACAAACGACCTCACACATCTAATACATGCCAGCTGTGGGTCTAATATACATTTTACAAATGGTGATGATATTTATACAATTATTACAGTATTGCATAACATAAATCTTCTATTTTTTTTGGGGTGAATAAAAATTCATTAGTGAATAAAAAAAACAAATGGGAAATTTTTTTGTAAAGCCTCAAAAAATAACTAATGAACAGAGGAAATGTTAGTTTAGTGCCAGGAATGCCTACATTGTTCATTCTGGACCCTATTTTGAACTTTGTGTAAATTGGCCAAATTAACAATTTCCGATCACTTTATTTTGTAGTTGAAACAGTTGACTTGGCGATTTCTTGTGCTCAATCGATAGAATAGAAGTAATACTAATGAAATAGCTAAGGGAAATTTGGTTTTGGAATAATGTAATTGGCCTAAAATGGGAGTCAAAGTCGGCAAAATCCCCGATTCGTAAATATCGCTGACACATCAAAATTCGCAAGAGCATAATTTCGTCAATTTTCCACCAATTTTCGTACTTTTTGTTTTATTACCTTCACAAAAAGATTCTCTACGATTTCATAAGAGAAAATACCAAATTTTTTTTTTTGAAATATCTTGGACACTGGTGCGTGACTCCAGATTTGGGCCTTGGACCCTGAAAGGGTTAAGATTAATATTTCATGTGGTAAAATTTGTTTTTTTCATACTTTGGGGTGTCTTGCACGGATTAATTTGATTTCCATTATTTCTTATGGGGAAAATTCATTCGCATAACGATAATTTCGCATAACAATGAGCTCTCAGGAACGGATTAACATCGTTATGTGGGGGTCCACTGTATATAAGTTCTGTCAAACTCCTTAATTACTGAGAACGCTTGGAATCACTTGACTTGTACTCACTGGAGCACAGGCGAGAGAGAGATACATCATAGGGGTTGTCCCACAGCTGCTAAAACAAACAGGCATAGCCCCACTCCACAAAGGGGACAGTTAAGTAATAGCAAAGAACTACAGACCGATAATGCTAACATCCCATTTCATAAAAATCTTTGAAAGGGTTCTAAGAAGCAAGATCGCCACTCATCCAGATTCCCATCAATTACACAACCCAGGGCAACATAGGTTTAGAGCAGGTCACTCCTGCCTATCCGAACTACTGGACCACTATGACAAGATCCTGGATGCTCTAGAAGACAAACAAAATGCAGATGTAGTACACACAGACTTTGCAAAAGTCTTTGACAAGTGTGACCATAGTATAATAGCGCACAAAATGTGTGATAAAGGAATAACACGAAAAGTTGGCAGATGGATCTATAATTTCCTAACAAACAGAACACAAAGAGTGGTAGTAAACAGAGTAAAGTCTGAGGCAGCTACGGTGAAAAGCTCTGCTCCACAAGGCACAGTACTCGCTCCCATCCTGTTCCTCATCCTCATATCTGACATAGGAATGTAAGCCACAGCACTGTGCCTTCCTCTGCAAATGACACCTGAATCTGCATGACAGTGTCCTCCAATGAAGACACTGCATGACTCCATATGGACATCAACCAAATCTTTAAATGGGCTGCAGAAAACAATATAATTCAATGATCATAAATTTCAATTATTCCAACGTGGAAAATGTGAGGAAATTAAAACTGTATCAGAGTATAAAATAAATTCCAAGCACACAATAGAGTGAAAAACTAATGTAAAAAACCTGGGAGTGATAATGTCAGAGGATCTCACTTTCAAAGACCACAACATTGTATCAATCACATCTGCTAGAAAAATGACAGGATGGATAATGAGAACCTTCAAAACTAGGAATGCCAAGCCCATGACACTCTTCAGGTTGCTTGTTCTATCTAGGCTGGAATATTGCTGCACACCAACAGCACCTTTCAAGGCAGGTGAAATTACTGACCTAGAAAATGTGCAGAGAACCTTCATGGCACACATAACTGTGATAAAATACCTCAATTACTGGGAATACTTGAAGTTACTCAACCTGTAGTCCCTAGAACACAGGTGGGAGAGATATGTGATTATATATACTTTGAAAATCTTAGAGGGATTAGTACAAAACTTGCATACAAACAAAAAACACTCCCTATGAAAGCACAAGACTCGGAAGACAATGCAACATCCCTCAATGAAAAGCAGGGGCACCACTAGCATGATAAGAGAGAACACAATAAGTGTTAGGGGCCCAAGACTGTTCAACTGCCTCCCAGCATACATATGGGGGATTACCAAAATACTCCTGGCTGCCTTCAAGAAGGCGCTGGACAGACACCTAACACCAGTACCTGAACATGAGGCCTGGTCAGAGACTGGGCTGTGGGGGCATTGACCCGAAACCCTTTCCAGGTATAGTCTACACATGGAAAATCCTAGAGGGACTGGTCCCAAATCTGCACACACAAATCACTCCCTATGAAAGCAGAAGACTGGACAAGCGGTGCAATATACCCACAATTAAAAGTAGGGGCACCATTAGTATACCAAGAGAAAACACAATAAGTGTCCAGTGCCCAAGTTTGTTCAACAGCCTCATACCAGGCATAAGGGGAATTACCAACAGACCCCTCTGTGCCTTCAAGCTGGAGCTGGACAGAGACCTAAAGTCAGTACCCAATCAGCTTGGCTGTGGTTCATATGTTGGACTATGTGTGGCCAGCAGTAATAGCCTGGTTAATCATGTCCTGATCCACCAGAAGGCCTGGTCAAGGACTGGGCTGCATGGGGAGTTGACCCCTGGAATACCCTCCTGTTAGGCAGACTCCCCATCCTTAGATCAAACCATCTGAAAAATGGTATGGTGACACCAACAAAAGGTGGAAAAAGACACGCACAGATCAGAACACTTATTAAAGATAACTAAGAATGATGACTACTACTAGTATTACACTTTCACTCCTTTCCACTTGACTCATGCCACTATATACTCGTCCTTAGTTATCTCTGTATTAGGACTGAAAAAGTCACTCATGGTAAAACATTTCCTTTAATAAATGTCCTGAACTGTAGGTAAGTGTCTTATTCCAAACTGTCTTCTGGTCTTCAGGCACTCTGTGACCCCTCTGATAAGTAACTTCCTGCAGGAAGTTATCACAGGAGACATAAAAGCTGTCATATGAATCTCTCTTCTCCATTTTTAATGGCTTTCATAATCATATTTAGTACTAAAAAGTACTCAAGTGCAAGGACTACAATTTACCTAATTTCATTTTCCATCAGTAACATAATAAACATTATTATATAGACAAGTATGGCATGTCTGCCTTTGATGAAATTAAGACACATGTGCAACATCTGGGTATCTTTATTGTAGACGTTTCGCCATCCAGTGGCTTTATCAATACAAATTCTAGGACATAACTTGAAGACAGTAGAACTATGTACAGAAGATGAGGTAATCAGTCCCTCAACCTAGGAGTAGGTGCGAAGAGCACCATAGTTGTGGAAATTCTGAAGCAGAAGAAAGGAGCCTGGCGCTTATATAGTAACGTCAGGTGTAGCAGATGAGGGCATAGTCACTGGTAGGCGGGATTCCCCAGTGGAAGTAGGTCCTTCCCAAAGAGATGGGTTAGTTGTAGTAGTAGTTGTCGTACATGAGGACATGTACATAACCTTCACGGCTACGACAACTACTACTACTACAATGAACCCATCTCTTTGGGAAGGACCTACTTCCACTGGGGAATCCAGCCTACCAGTGACTATGCCCTCATCTGCTACACCTGACGTTACTATATAAGCGCCAGGCTCCTTTCTTCTGCTTCAGAATTTCCACAACTATGGTGCTCTTCGCACCTACTCCTAGGTTGAGGGACTGATTACCTCATCTTCTGTACATAGTTCTACTGTCTTCAAGTTATGTCCTAGAATTTGTATTGATAAAGCCACTGGATGGCGAAACGTCTACAATAAAGATACCCAGATGTTGCACATGTGTCTTAATTTCATCTTGTCGGTATTATATACCATTCTTACACAACATGTCTGCCTTTGTAAAAGTTACAGGTCTTTTCATTCCTTTTCACATCCTGAATGGTGTAAATTATTTTTTCAAGGAGTCTTGAACCTTTAAACCTGACTGTAAAGCACACAAAACTACTGATAATTTTTTTTTCACCATTTTTTATTTAATGTTACCATAGTCTTGTTTGCTTGTTTTCCTACCACTATTATAATTATTATAATATGTAAAATAGTTTTGATAAAACAAAGTAAGGACATATTACCAGACTGTACATATAGTAACACTTGCAGCATTACCAGATTAGCACAATAAACATATAAAAATGTGTGTGTGTGTGCGCATCTGCATTGTGTATTAAGAGTTGAGCATATTCATAACTGTACCATCAACTCTTACCTTTGATGGTCATTATTACATGTAAAATAAACTACAAGTATTGCGTTTGGTGTCTATGCTCAATAAGCTCTCTGCACTTACCAACGATAGTAGCGAAGATGAAGACGCCAATGAGGTAGCTAACTATAGTAAAAATATATCTGTAAAGAAAAAGAATTGATCTATTAAGAATCATCTATGTGGTGATAGATACCAAAAAAATTAAAAAATACAAAACCACAACCAAAAATAAAACAAAATGCGAATCAATACAAAATGTAAACTTTTTATATACTGTATACATATGTATAAAAACGTCAAAAAGACCGCCAAGTATGTCAAAAAAGATTTAACTTAAGACTAACTGCAAAGAGTATGGGAAGCTGGGCCCCGGCATATAAACCCGTAGTTTTCGAACTTGACTTTCAAAAACAGGAAAAAAAAAAAATTTCCAAGTGAAATTTCCTATTGACGTGAAAGAGTCAGGGCTGCCCTCCGCATTTCTCCTCAAAAGATGGTTCGAAAACTTCGGGTTGTATATCAGAGGCTCGCAAGTTCCTCTCAACTCCTAAGCGCACCGCACGACCCTACACGTTGCAACGTAAACGCTGAAATTTGTGAGGATTTATTGCGCGACTTCGCTTAAATTGTTTGCGGTGTACGACGTATATTCTCGCTTTTTTCTGAGCCGGCCCATAAGTTTTCAGAGGAGACAAAATGAGAAATGCTAGTAGAGGAAATCAACAGATTTTTTTAATTATTCAACAAAAGAGGGAAATTACAGCAAAATGAGGTAGGGACAGCCCGCTCTTCATTTATTAACAAATTCTTTGAAGATAGTTCGTTTGAAGTTGTCAGATAAAAATTATGTTTACATATTTTACTTCATTTTAAAATGTATGAAAAATAAACTAATACAGCCTAAGAAGATTTTTAAGATGCACTTAGTAAAAAGTGTGCAACAAAACATATAATCTACTAGGAGAACATGGAGTTGTCCTCGTAATCTATACATGGAGTAAGAAGAACAAATTATTTTAATATATGGCCATAAACACACACACTTTAATTAGCAAATGGGATATTATTTATAAGGAACATTACATGGATACAGCTCAAGAAGTGTCCAGATACATGAAAGTTATTTATATGTATGTAAGATTTAAACAGATTTTGAAAAAAAAAATATTCTTTGAATTTAGGTCAATTTATTTATATTGTACAGTATATTCTGAGAGATTGAGAAATGAAAAGGTAATGATGTGTTCATATAGGTGTGATGTAAAGCATGTGACTTCTGCATCAATGACTCAATTCAGTACATCCACTGAAGGCATAAATAAAAGTTTCAGCTAATGTTATTTTAAATGTTGTGGCAAGCAATTTTGAAACATGTGAAAAGTGGAATCAGTATGTATAATATTTTATTAAAATTATTAGTTCACTCCCACTTGCCAGTAATACATATACTCGACTGAACTTTTTGTTTACTTAAACAAAATGGAGAAAATGACTGTCCTTGTGACAGTCAGCATGATAATCTTCATTCAGGTATTGGAAAGTAGCACTAAATAAATGCATACTTCTCACTGAATATTTGTGTTTCATCCTGACTTTTAATTCCTTGCTTGTTTGTCCAACAAAAAATGTCAGACAGAGCCAGCAGATCAACTAGGCAAACTTAAAACAAGTGTAGTGTTTTTAATGTGCAAGATTTTTTTCTATTCCATATATTGTATATATTAACTGACTTGTCTCAAAGATATTATGCTTACTTCAGGGCTGCAGGTGTGCAATACTCTTAAAAAAAAAAAAAAAAAAAAAAAAAAATCAACAAGAATGTTTTACCTCAGCTCTAACTTGGTTTAGCTCTGCCCATCCAATAAAACTACCACATTATTAATGTTAAAGTCACTAAAGCATTTTGTACTTTTGAGAAAAATAGTGACTTTTCTGTTAAAGACATTAACAGTGTACGTAATGGAACTATGATTTATAGATTAAACCTAGTGCCTTTAACTACCATTATAGGTTCATAAAAGCTTATAACTTTAATGAATAACTTAACATTTCCAAAGCTGAAAGTCTACTGACACAGCTGTTTTGAATATAAAAGATCTGGATAAAACTGAAGAATGTCTTGGTAATGCAAATGCTTATAAGATTTTACAGAAGAATTTACTTCATAATGTGACCAACCCAAAAAGATCCTACAGAATCTGTAATCAGTGCATGAAGAGCTTAAATTGTCAGTCAATATTTAGACCTCCTTGTCAGTACAATTTTCTCATTATAGTATGTTGAGATTAATACTGATTTCATTAACAAGCTACAGAAAACTCACATGTTTACAAACTTCAATTCAGCCTTGATGACACTGTTTTATTTAATGATTTCCCTGTAAATAATCATCTTGGAATTCTGGTTTGATGAGTATTTTTCAGAGGGCTTTGAGTCATAACAATCTTCACAAAATAATCAAAGTGTTCAGTAAAGATTGAAAATTTATGATAAGTAAACAGTATTATGCTACGATCTATTGAATGGCAAAGGGAAGTCCTCTTTCGCCAGTTTTAAGCAACCTGTATTGTATATGGAATTTTTTAGGCCCTTCATTAGCGTCAAAGTATTTCCCTTGATGGGACAATTTCCCAGAGGCTCCAATTTAGAGTCAATTACATATAAACTGAATGCCTCATATTCTTTTGTGTACAATCATCTTAATAAAGTAAAAACTAATTAATTTATTTCCTTTACTCAAAAAATGCCCTTCTGTTCACATTGGATATAATATATTACAGGACTGCTTTTGTTGCTCAAAATTTCATTAAAATATCAACACCAAAAATGTCCACCTTAGTAACTTTTGTAAAAAAAAAAAAATATGGGTTAACAACAGTACCAATAACCAACACACCTCTATGAATACAACTATTTATTCCTTATTTTCTCCTTCCTGGGAGAGCTTGAGTACCTTAAAGTATCATTAAATTTTTATAACATGTACATATGTATGTGTGTGGATATACATATTAACCATCATTCATTCAGATGATGTCTTGCCAGAAGTGCGATGACATCACAATTCAGATTACCCCTCCCACCTTCAGGATTCATGTGTGTGTGTGTGTGTGTGTGTGTGTGTGTGTGTGTGTGTGTGTGTGTGTGTGTGTGTGTGTGTGTGTACTCACCTAATTGTGGTTGCAGGGGTCGAGTCTCAGCTCCTGGCCCCGCCTCTTCACTGATCGCTACTAGGTCCTCTCCCTCTCTGCTTCCTGAGCTTTGTCATATCTCTTCTTAAAACTATGTATGGTTCCTGCCTCCACTACTTCACTTGCTAGGCTATTCCACTTCCTGATGACTATAAAGAAATACTTCCTAACGTCCCTGTGACTCGTCTGAGTCTTCAGCCTCCAGTTGTGACCCCTTGTTTCTGTGTCCCCTCTCTGGATCATCCTATCTCTGTCCACCTTGTCTATTCCCTGCAGTATCTTGTATGTCGTTATCATGTCTCCCCTGACCCTTCTGTCCTCCAGTGTCGTCAGTCCAATTTCCCTCAACCTTTCCTCGTACGACATTCCCCTGAGCTCTGGTGTGTGTGTGTGTGTGTGTTGTGTGTGTGTACTCACCTAATTGTGGTTGCAGGGGTCGAGACTCAGCTCCTGGCCCCGCCTCTTCACTGATCGCTACTAGGTCCTCTCTCTCTCTCTGCTTCCTGAGCTGTATCATACCTCTTCTTAAACCTATGTATGGTTCCTGCCTCCACTACTTCACTAGCTAGGCTATTCCACTTCCTGACAACTCTATGACTGAAGAAATACTTCCTAACGTCCCTGTGACTCGTCTGAGTCTTCAGCTTCCAGTTGTGACCCCTTGTCCCTGTGTCCCCTCTCTGGAACATCCTATCTCTGTCCACCTTGTCTATTCCCCGCAGTATCTTGTATGTCGTTATCATGTCTCCCCTGACCCTTCTGTCCTCCAGTGTCGTCAGTCCGATTTCCCTTAACCTTTACTTGTACGACATTCCCTTGAGCTCTGGGACTAGCCTTGTTGCAAACCTTTGTACTTTCTCTAACTTCTTGATGTGTTTGACCAGGTGTGGGTACCAGACTGGTGCTGCATACTCCAGTATGGGCCTAACATACACAGTGTACAGTGTCTTGAATGATTCCTTATTAAGGTATCGGAATGCTATTCTCAGGTTTGTCAAGCGCCCGTATGCTGCAGCAGTTATTTGGTTGATGTGTGCCTCCGGTGATGTGCTCGGTGTTATGGTCACCCCAAGGTCTTTCTCCCTGAGTGAGGGCTGTAGTCTTTGTCCACCTAGCCTATACTCTGTCTGCGGTCTTCTTTGCCCCTCCCCAATCTTCATGACTTTGTATTTGGCTGGATTGAATTCGAGAAGCCAGTTACTGGACCACATGTCCAGCCTGTCCAGGTCTCTTTGCAGTCCTGCCTCATCCTCGTCCGATTTAATTCTTCTCATCAACTTCACATCATCTGCGAACAGGGACACTTCAGAGTCTATTCCTTCCATCATGTCGTTCACATATATCAAAAATAGCACTGGTCCTAGAACTGACCCCTGTGGGACCCCGCTCGTAACAGGCGCCCACTGTGATACCTCTTCACGTACCATGACTTGTTGCTGCCTCCCTGTCAGGTATTCCCTGATCCATTGCAGTGCCCTCCCTTTTACATGCGCCTGATCCTCCAGCTTCTGCACTAATCTCTTGTGGGGAACTGTGTCAAAGGCCTTCCTGCAGTCTAGGAAAACGCAATCTACCCACCCCTCTCTCTCGTGTCTTACTTCTGTTACCTTGTCATAAACTCCAGGAGGTTTGTGATACAAGATTTGCCTTCCATGAACCCATGCTGGTTTTCATTTATAATCTTGTTCCTTTCCAGGTGTTCGACCACTCTCCTCCTGATAATCTTCTCCATGACTTTGCACACAATACATGTCAGAGACACAGGTCTGTAGTTTAGCGCCTCATTTCTGTTTCCTTTCTTAAATATGGGGACTACATTAGCTGTCTTCCATTTCTCAGGTAGTTGCCCAGTTTCAAGGGATGTGTTGAAGATTGTGGTTAGAGGCACGCACAGCATCTCTGCTCCTTCTCTAAGGACCCATGGGGAGATGTTGTCCGGTCTCATCGCC